AAAGTGTTTGTAGCCATATAGGTCTCTTAGTGAACGTGGCCAGAGTACATAACGTGATTGTTTGGTTACAGAGACTGTCAAACTGCTGAAGGGAGGATCACTAGAGCCTACAAACTTGTGCATAATTTACTCATTGTCCCAATGAAAGGTATCACATTTTCTGCCTTACAAAGAAGGCTCAGCAGGAGTTGTAATCCTCTAGATGCATAACATAGAACTAAGAACACGTACCTCCTAGTAAGAAGACTAAACATATTAGCCAGAAGCAGATACAAGAGGAAGATAGTGAGGTAACAGCGAGACCCAGGAGCAGGCCAATCCCCTGGCAAGAATTCCAACACCACCTCTTGGGAAGAAAGAGGGTACCGATATTCCTCCCAGGCCCTGCTCAAAAGCGCCATCTTTCATATTAGTTTCCTGTTAACAGGTGACTTTGGATTCAGCAGAAACTGATGGCTTAGTCGCCCACTCATCACTGATGTGTGAGACAGTTGCAGCAATAAGTGGCAAAAAAACCAACCCAAAACTTCATATAGGCCACCATGGCATTCAGCTCAGATTGAGTTGCACTATTTTGGTACTCAATAGGATGCTCCACTATCAACAGAATGCTGCACTAACCAATTTGCCTTTACAACGTTATAGTCAATGGTTCACTATTCAGAGAAGCCACCAAACTCCTTAGGGCTAGCAGCTTCACTGGGATCTCCCTTTCCAATCCTGCATATTCCACCCTATCCCCAGCTTTAATTTAGAACTATTTATAAAGAATATCTGCAGTTACTCTAGCTCAGTGGTTCCCAAACTGGGGTTCGTGAACCCCTGGGGGTTCGCAGAACGTTACAGGGGGTTCACCAGAAAAATTTCACTAATGGTGGACAGAGGACCCCGGGCATTGGAGACAGCAGGTGGGATCCGGTTGCAGGGCAGACACCCCGAGCCCCAGGGAGAGCAGGGCCGGGCAGTTGGGGCTGGCAGCCCGAGTCCTGGCGGTCAGCGGGGGAGCCGGCAGCCCAAACCCCAGCGCTCTGCGCGGGGCTGGCAGCCTGAGCCCCAGGGAGAGCAGGGCTGGGCAGTTGGGGCTGGCAGCCCGAGCTCCGCCCCCATCAGCGGGGGAGCCGGCAGCCCGAACCCCAGCCTGAGCCCCAGGAAGAGCGGGGTGGGCGGTTGGGGCATCCATCACACTGAGGAAATTTAAACTTAAATCCCTGAAAATATTCATTTTTAGGAGGGGGTTCACGAGATTTCATAATTTAGTGAAAGGGGTTCGCGGGCTGTTAAAGTTTGGGAACCACTGCTCTAGCTGGAATAAGACTAAGAATAGATAATCTCATGTTTCAGGGCATAAGCCAACCACTAACTGCCCAGGAAGAAGAAGAAAAAAAACTTCCCCGTGGGCAAGTTTAATCTATAGTTGGCTGTTACGCAGTCTGATAGGTAAGCAGAGACAGCACTCAGGACTATGGCCTGATGCAATATGGAAATAGCTAGGGAATACCCAAATAAAGCTGTTAGGAAATACCAACCTGGGTACATTATATATATATAAACAAGTTAATGCAGATGTTCAGTCTAGCTCATCCCTTGGTGGGACACAGAAGATGATGCCACTTTAAGATCTCTCAAGCTGGAGAAGAGGATGGCAAGGTAGCCATCTGAAACATAATTTGATCCACCTTCTGCTTATCATTTCTCTTGCCTTTCTGTTATGAAAATATTTGTGTTCTGATCAGGACCTCTCCATTTCGGGCCCAGGTTCACTTCCCGCTCAACCTTCAAGTCACAATCACAGCACCAAATTCAAGTAAATAAAACATCACAAAGATAACTCCAGAGTGCAGGCCAGCAGCAGAGGCTACATGCAAGGGAGAAGGGCTCAGATTCCAACTCAAGTAGATTCACAGCAGCAAAGGGCATAGAGGAAATCGGAGCACGGGCCTGCGCCTTAATTAAATGGTCTGTTCCTGCAGGTTTACTCCAGCACAAGTGTTCCTCTGAATTTCCTGGCGTTTGTCGCCTGCAGTGTACCCTTAAGGTTAATGTGCTTGTTAAACATGTTTAATAATTCCCCATTAGAAGATACAGCTAGATCTTGAGACAAAACCAAGCACCCTCAGCTGCTACCAGTCCCTCAAAGACATCTTTACCTTTTCACTGTATGATCTAGTAAGCTACCCCACACTCAGTCACACCCGAGTCCTGTATTCGGCTTTCGCCTGGTGGGATCAAAGGAAAGCCAGTGCTGACTAGAACAAACTACACCGTTATGTTATGGAGAACTCACAGGATAGTTAAAAATATGTAAAGAGAAGCAGGAAACGCTACAAATACCCCACTGAAAGTCCTCTTTGTAATGAGCCTATAAACATGACAGGAAATAAAGCCTCCCCCTCAGTCCCATTTATATTACACCCCCTGTTCAACCAGACCTTAAGGTGAGACATCCAAACCACGAAGTTTAACTTGCAGATCAAAAAAAAAAAAGTGGTGTTTAGTTAACTTAGAAGTAACAACCCCCCTCCTTCCAGACCGTGTCCTACGTGTGAAGCTGGGGACATTTCCAGCTGGGAAGAACAAAAATGCAGGGGAAAGCGAAGGGAGAGACAGGAGACAAAACTGGGAGTAGAGCTGGGGAGGAGGGAAGAAATAAACAAACCACATAATTCAATAATTGGACTCTGTCTCGGGGAGGAACAGCTCCCGGGGTGGGAGGAGGAGGAGAGGCCGGGCTCCCCGGGGACAGGGTCCGTAGGACGGACCTGAGGAAGCGGGTCACGGAACGAGACAGCCCCCAGCGCTGGGTGGGGTGGGGAGGGCCGGGCCGGGGACACCCCCAGGATTTGGGACAGGCCCCCGGGAGAGGGGAGTGGCGGGGATCCCCCAGCGATAGCGGAGGGATCGGGGCAGGGGAAGCCCTCGGAGAAGCGGGGGACACAGCGGGAAGCCCCCCTGTGCCGGGGACCCTCCAGCACTGGGGGCGAGGAGCCCCCGGATCCCGGGGGAGCCCCCGGCAGTGGGGGCGGGGAGAGGCGCTGCCCGGCGCCCCTGGCTCCCCTCTCACCTGCAGGCCGGGCCCGGCGGGGGTGGGGCGGCCTCTGTCAGCCCGGCTCGGTCCCGGGGGCCGCGGCCTGCGGGCTCCTCCCGATCCCCGAGCTGGCGTAGCGGCCGGGGCCGGCGGCGCAACCCGGAGCGCGGGGGCCGAGGGTGGGGGGCGGCGGCGGAGGACCAGGCGGGCAGCCGGCGGCTCGGCGCTGGGGGGGTCCCGCTGCCGGGTGGGGCCCGCTCGGCTCTGGGCGGCGGCTGCGAGCCCCGGGATGGAGGGAGCCGGAGGAGGCGGGGCCGAGGGAGCGACCGGGAGTGGGGCTGCCCCCTGCCGGACCGCGGCGGGAACTGCGCTCCCGCACTGCCCCCTGCCGGACCGCGGCGGGAACTGCGCTCCCACACTGCCCCCTGCCGGACCGCGGCGGGAACTTGCGGGGGCTGCTCTACCCTGGGCCCCAAGGGGCGGAGAGAGGGGGGCTGCCCCGGGCAGGCTGGGGGTGGGGGGCTGCGGCAGGCCTGCCCCTGACTGGGGTCGGTTGCCCCACATGGACTGGGCAGGGGCCATTCTCTGGAAGTCTTGCCCGTGACAAAGACCCCCTGACTCTGATTTCATGGACCTAGAGGTGTCTGCAGGGATCTCAGCCCCATTCCATCGGTCTGAGGCGGCCCCTCCCCGCACCCCGTGTAAACGGGCTGCCAGAGGCTGGCCACTGAGTTCTTGTACAGATCACGGGTTACTCATGATCCACCCCCCTCCGCTCCCCACGCACTACTTGCCCAGGTCTGGCTCCTCAGCCTGGATTGCCTGGTCCCCGCACCAGTTCGGGGCTGCAGGGGGGATGGTGTCACCTGGGCGGCCACTGCCACGGGTGAGGTGCCTCCAGCGCTGCTGAGCTGCTAAGATGCCCTCTGGGTACAAGGGGAAAAGCCTCCCTCCTGTGACCAGGAAAGTGCCCAAGGCCCAGCAGCCCGGGATGAAGGGGTGGATTAGACCGGGGCTGGGGGTGGTTTAGAATGAAAGTTAATTTTCCTTCACTCGCTACCAAAGAAGGCAGGGAGGGCCCGGGCGGCCCTTGGGCCCGGGCACGGCTCACCCCCCCGGGGGAACGCTTCCCCGCCCGCCTGAGCCCAGGCCCAAACCTCTTCACCCCCTCGGCCCGGTGAAAGCTCCTGGGGACCCAGATTCCTTCTCTACCCGCTCCAGCCTGTGAACAACACCGCTGCTGCCCGCCTCCTGCCGCCTATGGACTGCACCCCCCCCCGGTCCTACCACCACCCCACCGGCTCCCTGGCCAGGCCGGCCTCTCGCCAGGAGCCCTCCCGGCTTCTCACACCCTCTGCGGACCGGCTCCGCTTTCCTGGTCTCCAAGGCGCCTCCTCCTCCCCGGCAGCACCTCCCGGCTCCCCATCCCGCGCCCCGGCTCTGCCCCGGGGCTGGCCAAGCTGCAGCCTCCCGGAGCTGGAACAGCGCGGCCGGGGCCCCGAGAGCCGGGGGACGCGACACGCTGCGGCACGGAGGCGCCGCGGGAGGAAGGGAGGCGGCTGCGGGCGGAGCGGAGGCGATCCGGTGCCCGGCCCCCATGAGCGGGGCGGCGCTGGTGGGCTACAGCAGCAGCTCGGAGGATGAATCCGGCGGGTCCCCGGGAGCTGCGGGGGGAAGAGAGGAGGGGGCGGGAGGCTGCTCGGGGGGGGAGCCGGTGGCCCACGGAGCCGGCCCCGCCCAGACCAGGTGGGTTGGGTGCCGGGGGGCTGCCGGGTGGAGGGGGGCCCCGGTGCGTGCGGCAGCGGGACGGGCACAGCTCCGTGCGTTTCCTCGCTTGGTTATTGTCTCCTAGGGTTTGCTTCGAACTGAAGTTTCGAGGTGAGAGGAAAAGAGGGATGGAGTGGGGCTGCCCCAGGCCTGACCTGCAGCGTCCTCTGGGCTCCCCACAGCTCTGCCCATGGCCCCCTCAGCCCAGAGCTCCTGGGGTTACTCCTTGAGCCCCCACTAAGGCTTGTCTACACGGGGTCAGAGCCCGAAATAGCTGATGCTTGATAGCCCAGCCCAGGCCTCCTGAAATCAGGAAGTGCTGCAGGTCTGGACAGAGCACTGGCAGATCTAGGGGCTTGTCTACATGGGGAACTATTGTGAAATAAACTAGATTGTGAATTTTAAAGCGCAATAGCTATTATCTCCCCCTGCGGACACAATTCTTCTGCACTAAGAGCACCTTTGTCCCGTTTAGTTTAACCCACTTTGGAAGATCTGCTAGCTCCCCTCAGTCCTGACCTGCAGTACCTCCTACTCTAGGCCTGGACCCCCCCTTAGCCAAACATACCCTACCCCTGACCTGCAATGAATTCCCCTTGCTGTTTTATTTCTGGATCTCTGCTAGGTGACCTGCTGGTTGGGCTGAATTGTGTAGTGGCTTTTCGGTGTGGATGAGTAGGTTTGACAGGCTGACGTTTGGAGCAGCCGAATGTTCCGTGACTGTAAGATGTAGGACTGACCGCAGAGCCGGGTGTGTGTCACTTTCCAGTTTGTCAGTGGCAGCCAAAGCTTGGTCGTCCCTGCGTGATGTTGCATTTGGTAACTGAAGTGTTCTCCCTCATTTAAGTGTTTGAAATACAGCATCATGAAAGTGTCTTTGGGAAAAGAGTGAGTGCAAAGCCTCTGTTAGGGGAAGAAATAGGAATTGGTCATGGGGGTATATTACCTCTTCCCTTTCCTTTTCCAGGCCTGCAACCGGGCTGTGTGGGATTATCTGTCCTCTGCAAAACCACAAATATTATTAGCAATGGGTAGAGCAAGAGGATCCCTATTGGGCTTCTGAATGCAGTCAGGGCTTTAGGTTTCATAAGGGGAGGATGGGTTAAAACTGATTGCACAGGACAGGGCCAGCCACAGGAACCTAGGGCTAACAGATGGAGACCCTTGCGTTGAGAGGGGGAACTCTGTATAGAAGCTCTCCTTGCTGGCTGACTTTGGAGGAGTCTAGAACACGTCTGTGCAAAAGAGGAAGGATGAGCCGGTGCCTGTGGTGCACCTAGCCGAAGACACTTGCCTCTCTCTAGGGTTGGGCCATGCCTGTTAATTTCCTTTTCTCCTCTCTCCTCCCCCCATCTCTCCTGCAGCATGCCGATTCCTCGCCTCCCTGTGCCAGACAGCGTCTTAAACATGTTCAGAGACCAGGAAGAGGAGGTCACGGATGACAGCACCAAGCATGGCGGACGAGTGCGCAACTTCCCCCATGAGCGGGGCAACTGGGCGACGTACGTCTACCTGCCCTGTAGGTAACTTCAGGCCTGTCCCCTCTGTTTCCCCGGTATGGGGACAGTGAGGGCTGGAGCAGGGGAAGAAGTGAGAGCACTGGGGAGAGGAGCTCTCGGTACCAGTGTGGGGCTGGTGTTGGCAGGGGATGAGGGACAGAGACCCCTGGGAGTGGAGCCCTCCATGTCCCCAACGTGGGAGCAGTGTAGGGAGGAGCAGGGTGTGTGGACCCGCATGTGTCGCTCATGGAGCAAATCTTGTGAACATCTGTCTCTGCAAACTGACGGCGAGCCCAGTCCCTAGTGAGAGCCTTCGCTCCCATTCCCCATGATGGGCTTGGACATCTCTCTCCAATGCCAGCTGCTTTCCAGCAGTATGGTCAGTAAATGCACTGGCCTGTTAGACGGGTCTGGCACACCCTGACGTTCTGGCCATTCAAACAGAGCGGGTAAGAGAGAGGCCTCCATTAGACCAAAGAAGTCAAAAGGGAAACGTGTGTGTATATATTCAAGTTCCCATTTGATGTGTATTCTCCCAGCTCTGCAGCTTGGCAGTAACTGCTAATTGATGCCTTCTTTGGTGCTGGTTACCTTTGTAAAATAAGGAGGCAGAACAGCAGACTGGGAATCGGGACTCCCAGGTTTTATTCCCAAGTCTGTGCCTTATTTCCTCATGGGGAATAAGGATAATAATGGTCCCCATTTTCACAGGGCTGGTGTGAGACTTCTTTAGCGTGTGTAACAGGTATTGGAATCCAGGGGTTGCCCCTGCTTTCTAGCTCATCATCGGGCCGACGGATCAGCCCCTCCGCGCGGGGGCAGGTGCTGTGGGGGAGGGTCAGGCTCTAATCCTGCTGCTCTTTGCCCTGGCAGGTGACATCCAGGAGGAATTGCTGGAGCTGCGGGAGCTCCTCATTTCCCACGCCCGCAGGTATGCGGTGTCGCTCACTGCCATGGAGGAATTCCACATCAGCCTCTCCCAGAGCGTGGTGCTGCGCTACCACTGGATAAACCCCTTGGTCCAGTCCCTCAAGGAACGCGTAGCCTCCTTCTACAGGTAAGAGCAGCACAACCCTGGAAGGCACTCCCCACGTGTCCCTCTCTCCTCGGGTCACTCCAGCCATTCCTAACCTCCCAGCCTGCTCTGACTCTGGGATTCCGAGCGATTCCCCCTGACGGGTGGTGGAGCCCAGTTAATCCCGTGTCTGCTCTCGAGACCCCTACGCAGGGGGCTAGATCCTGCCCCATTGACATCAATGGGAGTTTTTCCTTGGACTTGAATGGGTGCAGAATCTGGCACCAGATTAGTCTGGCGAGCAGGCCAGTGGCCCAGGAGGCTCTGGGTTCAGGAGCAGTGACAGTGTTGTATTGTCTTGTAAATGTCTTACCAAAGGTCTCTCCTGAGTTCAGTGCTTACAGCTGGCTTGGAGACTCCCCAGGCACAGCCTCATGCTATTTTGATGGCTAGGCTCGGGACGTGCACAGCAGAGTGGAACCCAAGGGGGGGTAAGGACTGATCCGAGCCCCAGGAAAGTTCAGTTTAGACTGATTCACCCTTAATAGAAACAGGCCTTTGCCCATGCGCTTGGCCAGCAAGAGGACAGCCCTGCTGCAGCAGCTTAATGGCGGGGCACTTCACAGTTCCTCCTTTGTTTCTTCCCTTAGTTGAATTTGCTTCTTTCCCCTATTTCAGGTTCTTCTGTACGGCCAGCCAGGTTAAGGTGTATACCAACCAGCACAAAACCAGGTGAGTGACTAGCACAGCAGCCTGCTCTTTTAGAGAGCACTGGGGAGTAGAGGAAAGCTGGCACTAGGAGGGGTGGATGGGGGGTGGTTCATGCTGTGCGCAGACCCCTTGATCGATGTCAAGCAGCTTGGTGGCTGTGTGATATCATCTCCATTTGTCCCAAAAACCTGCTGCTGTCGGTTTTCATAGCCGTCCTCCCAGTCCCCCATAGCTTCCAGGCATGGTCCTGGATGGGTAGATTTTGATCTTGGGCTGCAACTGCTGGCAGCCCAAAATATATCGATAAATCCAGTTATCTGACTGGGCCAGTTCATGGCATCTCATTGAGCTGATATCTTTCCCTGATGGTTTCACCTTGCACGGCAGAACCTCAGCTTTCATTCAAAAAAATAATTTAAGCCGCTAGCCCTTTTAGCTGCAAAGGTGACTTCAGTGTAACCAATGCAGTGACGTCTGCCTGAGTCTGCAGACAGCCTGTAACAACAGCCCTGACAGAAGTAAGAGCTGTCCCAGTCATCTCTGTTGTGTGTTAACGTGAAGCCTAACAACACTGATTTAAAATGTTGAGATTGTTAACTGTTTCATTGCTGAACAAAGCACATGAAAAAGGAGGACAGTCAAACTAGGAAAAGTTGCTGACTCCACTGTGGGTGCTGGCTTGTGTTGGTGTCATGAACAGATGGAACTTAGATAGCAGGTGAAGTTTAGGAGAGTTCCACTACTTTGTTCCCCTCGGTCTGACATATGATCCTGGGAAGGGATGGGGACTTGGTTGCCCTTAGCAAGCTGCCCAAATTTATAGGGGACTCCGATGTAGGGTATGAACACCGCTTTTCCTGTGCGACAAAAGTTTGCTCGGAGGATCTTTCTGCACTCCATCTTTCTCCCTGTCTGTGCGCAGGACCTTTGTGGGCTTGGAGGTCTCGTGTGGGCATTCTCAATTGCTGGAGCTGGTCTCGGAGGTAGATAAAGTTATGGAGGAGTTCGATCTCCCAACGTTCTACAAGGTAATGGTTTGTCTCTTGTCCTCTCCCTCTTCTCTGCCTGTCCAAACCCTCCAAGGGAGGCCAGAGCTCTTAGCTGCTCCCCTGGCTTTAATATGGAGGCGGTGGGAACAAGTTCATAAGGGGCTTGAACTTCAGATGCAGCGAATAAAAGAGAGTGGGAAAACATATCACAGTGTGAACTCGCCTCCTGCCTCTGTCCTCGCTCCCCTTTTGCCACTGCCAAGGGGGAGCCTGGTTTGTCTGCTCCCATGTCACTCATTTATCCTGCTTTCCCATTGGTGGCCATGCTGGTCATTATTACTGCCTGCAATAGCACCAAGTGCTCAAGGCCCCGTGCGGGGCATTTCCCGGCAGTCAGTGGCTGACTGGATCAAGGGCCTGAGGTCACTCACTGACAGTAATGCCTGGAGGTCGGTATTGTGGGGCTAACACAAGCCTTTCATGTCAAGATCACATCCCGCCCGGGACCGTAGTGATTTATAATCATTACCGTCCAATGGCCCGTCTGTGAAACGTATTTCCTGGGTCTGAGCCCCGTTCCTAGGGCACAGGGGGACATGTCACAGAAACCACCACCACCAAAACTGGCACCTTGTTGGCAGGAGAACGGCCTAGGGTCGTATGGGCCATGGAGAGTCCCACCCCAGTCATCTTTGAGGCACATTGGCGGGGCACTATGTAGGAAGCTGGCACTGATGCTGCCCGTTCTGTGGACAGTCTCCTGAGCTGCCAGTCCAGCATCTTCCACTGTGCCTAAATTCACTTACAGGGTTTGGGGGTTTTATTAAATAAACTCTGATCTCTGAGTCTATGGGCTGAGTTGAGTGCTTGCCTCTGGCTCAGAGGTGTCAAACAACTTCTCAGATCTGTATCTGTGTAGGAGGTGTTTCTCCACACGTTACGAATACATCTTGCAAAGCTGAGAGACGCTAGGCGGGGAAAGGCAGCCTTTGCTATTGATACCGGAGGCAGGCAGGCTGGGAGCCAGGATTCATGGTATCAAATCCCCCCCCCCGACACTGACGCGCATTGGGTCCCTATCTGTAAAGTAGAGATGATGATGCTTACCTATTTCACGGTGGGTTGTGGGACTTCACAGATGTAAAGCGCTCTGAGATCCTGGGTGATGGGACCCTGCAGGGCTGAGTTACACCAGCTCTCTGATTTTGCAGCCATCTTGCACTGAGCTGCTGTTCCATTTATCTCTCTGTACAGAACCCGTCATTCCATATCAGCCTGGCCTGGTGTGCCGGGGACCTGACTGACAAGCTGGAAGGGCAGTGCCTCCAGGAGCTTCAGGTAACTCCCCATGCAGCTGTCTCCCGAGATGAGGGTGGTGGTGGGGGGAATGCAAGTAACACACCAGCCAGGTGTCTCCGGGGACGAGGAGGGATTCAGGTAACTTCCCAGCCACGTATCTTCAGCTGGGAGCTTTCAGGTGGCTGAATTGTAAACCTTAGAGAGATGAGGGAAGCAGTAGCGTAGCTAGCGAGGTGCAGGGGAAGCAGCCGCTTCCCTGCAGCACATTTTCTAAAAGCAGCGCCTTAGTTAGTAACGGCTTGTTGTGCTCGCTGCAGGCTGCCTGTGGCTGCCTCCGTCCGTCTCTCTTCCCAAGTCCAGGCTGGTGCGGGGAGACGAAGGGGTCACAGGGAACCCGCAGCCCTGGGGGGAGCGATCAGCTGCTGCCTGAAGCGCGCCCGGGCAGGCCACTTCACCACCATGGGTGACCTCTACTAGCCCCGGGCTGCGCTGGCCGGGGGGCGCCATTAGCCTCCCCGTCCCCCGCCCCGGCTGTCGGGAAGTGGCACTGGTGGCCCCGCGCTCTGAGCGGGATCCATGCGCCGGCCTTGCACCAGACCCCGCCGCTGCCGGTAGCACGAGGAAGGTTCCTCACGTCCCGCCCCAGGACGTGACACGGTGAGGGGCGCCCAGCCCGGCCCGCAGCTCTCCCGGCAGCGCTCGCCTCGCTGGGCGCAAGGGGTCGCTGTGCCGTGGCTCGCTGTGGCTGCGGGTCAGAGCAATTCCCCGGCGGCTCCTCCTCCCGCCCAGCGGCTTCCCAGACTCCTGTCCGGGTAAACAGCGAAGGCTGCGGAGGAAGGAGGCGAAGAGCCCGACAACATAGGGAATCACTTGCAGCTCCTACCCGGTAGTGGCCGCTGCCGCCGCCCCGGCCCGGCTCCCTGCGCGGGGGAGAGCGAGGGACGGGCTGGGCGAAGGGGTGGAGAAGAGGAGCTCGGCTAAAGGGGAGCGCGAGGGGCAAGGGGCTGCTGCGGGGATGTCAGCTTAGGCAGGAGCCTCTGGCTCTTTGCCGCCCGGCCTGAGCCGGGCAAGCGGGGGATGAGTTCGGGGCGGCCGGCGCTCAGCCTGGAGCACAGAGACGCCCCCAAACTGCCCCACTGCCCAAGGGGCCCGGACCTGCCAGGAGCTGCGTTCCCAGCCAGCCGTGAGGGGTCAGAACCCCTGAGCAGAGCCGGGCCCTGTAACCCCGATCTAGGCTGTAATCCCCTCTGTTCCCTGCACACACACGGGGCTGGAACTGGGGGGGCTGCCGCACCCCAGGCTTGAAGGGGGGGCGCAGCATAGCCGCAGCGTGGCCGGAGGAGCCATGGGGGGGTGTGGCCAGAGGAGGAGCCAAAGGGGGGCGCCTTTTTAATGTTTGCTCCCCCTGCTCTTAGAACCTGGCTACGCCACTGGAGGGAAGAGAACCTTTTAGGTGGGAGTTTCAGTTTAATTCCGCTTCTCTAAGGTGGTTTCCTTATGAGCTGCCTGGGAAGCCTGAGGACCTCCAGCTGCTACCCCTTCATAAGGAGAGCCGTGGTGTGTGTGCTGTGAGTGACTGACTTGATCCGCGGGCAGCCTCCTGAGCTCGCACACAGTGACGCTTCCCTTACCAGCCCTGGGTGTGTTTTCCAGGAGATTGTGGATGGGTTTGAGGACTCTGCATTCCTGCTGCGATTCCAGTGGGATGAGATCCGCTGCAGATCTGGGAACAAGTTCTTCTCCTTCCCCTTGAGGTAGGAGACCGGAAGCCACTCACTCCAGCTGCCCTGACGCCTCTGCTAACTGTTGGACAGTTTGGAGTTTCACATGCAGGCCGAGTTGCTGTTCTCAGCTCATCAGCCTAGGGAGGTTTGTAGCCTCAAGCCAGGTTGCTTTTGTTTGAAGCCGCTGGCCCTAGATGTGTGTATATGTGAGGCTGTTAGGTTATTGTGCTGTGTAGATTGCCATCTACACAGGCAGTTCTAGGCTACCTATGGTTGCCAGATGTGCTGATGTTTTAAGCCGTAGTCGCCTTCTAGTGCAGAGGCGAGGGAGGTTGCTAAGGGAAGTGTGTCACACAGCTGGAAATTGCCCTGCATTGCTAAGGGGATCTAGAGCATAGTTACTGTCCTGAACTCTGAGTCCTTAGCTATTAACAGCAAGTTCCAGGTGTGCAGAGTTAGGTCTTTCTCTATTAGGACAGAGCATCTCTCTACCTACAGCTGACTGAGGACAAGTCCCCTTATAAGGCTCCTCCTCCCCGATGCCTTTATTGCCACACTGGAGAAATTGAGATCAAATCCTCAGTCCAAGTCCTGGTGGCATTAAATCTGGCAAAGAGGGGGAAGGCCCTTGACTTTCAGTGCTAAGCAGCCTAACTCCAGTTTGGGACTAGTGGAAAGTGTTCCGTTTAAACTGATCCACAGAGAGACTTGGCGGGGGTGGGGGAGGGGGAGAAGAGCAGCAGGGCACTGATTTTCAGAGAATTTTAAAAGGCACAAGGCAGGTTTTTATTTTAAATAGGAAGCGTGTCATACTGCCAAATGCCCAAAAGAGGGCAGTGTTGGTTTTCCCAAGTGAACTGGCTAGCAATAAGGGTATTTGGCAGCCCTCTGATCATACCCAAGTCCAGAATTACCTGCTGTTGTTTAGCTTAATTTGGGCAAGCCAAGAACATCGGTCTCCAGGGAGGGGCGCACCTTGCACCAGGACTAACTCCACTTTCAAATGAATCAAGCTAACTGGATCCTGTAATGACAGCCCTGCACTTCAGCTCCTGAAGCGATCCTGTGCAGACTGTACTTTCCTGCCCTCGACAGGTGCTTTGGCCTCTCGGACATTCTGGACAGGGCAGGCAAGTTATGTCCATCATTCCATATTTGTCTGCCAGAAGAACCTGAGGCTTTTGTTTAGTATCAAACTCTGGTTTCTAGTTGCCATAAAGTTGTTTTCCTGGTATATTCTGGACATGTAGGGCCTGATTCTCGGAAGTCCTTAGCACCTGCAGCTCCCATTGACTTCAAAGGAAATTGTAGATATTGAGTGCTTCTGAGAATCAGCCCCTCAGTGGCCCTTCTCTCCATTGAGATAGCAGGGAGGTGGTATCACTGGCCAACGTGGCTTTGAGAGAGACCAGTATCACAGGGGATTCGTTGCCATTTAAAATCTTGCTAAGAAGTCCTTTATGTTTATCAACTTCTTACCTGCAATATTTGATTGAAAAAATTCTTAATGGACTCCCTGAGTGGGTTTGTAGGGGCCAGAAGATGAAATTCACTGTTTAAAATTTTGTATTAAATATATATATAAATAAAACCTCCTATTTCTGCCTCTGGTCCCTGTGTCTGTGTTTTCATACAGACCGAAGTCTAACTGTTCTAGCATGCATTCATTTTCTTCCAAGCCAGTAACCTGACTGTCTTGAGAGCTCAGTTCTGTCAAAGATCACTTCAGCCTATGCAGCCTTGCACTGAATTACTTCTGTGTGGTCCATGGAGTTTAAGGTAAGATCTTGGGATCAATGGAAATTTTGATTCTAGTGGGGCCAGGATTTCACCCCAAGCGTGCAGTTATACCCGCTACCTTTAGCAGGAAACACTTCAACTCTCTTTCCTCCCTAAAATAATCCAGGTATCAAGATCTTCCAGCTGTTCCCAAACAGAGATCACGCTCTGTCACTCTTCATGATTATCAGGAACACTGCCCCACCACTCCCCCCATGCACAATGCAGTAATCGTTTTTAAAAGCCTTGGTGAAATGAGCTCTTTATTCCACCCTGTGATGGTGTGTTAGCGTGGTCATGCCAGATGGGATGTGGTGGCATCGACCTGTGCTCACACTGTGGCTCTCTGCCCACGTGACTGTGGCTTGCCCAGTGATGCACAACTTCATTGCTGGTGTTGTTAACAGTTCCCCTGAGGGGGGCAGCACCCAACTGTTGAGGGGAAAATACATTGCACATCTCTATGGCCTGCCATTGGAGGATCTCAATGTGCTTTCCAAACAACAATAATATAAAACGAACCCCCCTCTCCACTCTCATGGGTGAGTATCCTTAGCCACAATCCTACACATGGGGAAACTGAGGCTGGATGAAGTCACTTGCCCAATGTCTCCCAGTGAGTCAGTTGCAGAGCCGGGAATTCTGTCCAGATCATGTCCCCCCTCTCCTGGGTTTTAACTTCATGGCTTCCCCCCCCCCCCCATCAATTTGGCCCTCTTTGTAACCTGTTAGCCACAGGGGCTAAAATTCTCTCTGTCTCATTTGCAAAGTGTCTTAGACACTTAGCAGCCCAAGACCCACTGACTTTCAGGGAGATGGCGGCTCGGCAACATACCCCTATCGGCTTTACTCATGGCTTGTCCCCACTAGCAATGGGTTAATGTTCAGTTGGTAACCATGACAGCCCCCGGTCAGAGGCCGAAGCCAGCACATAGGGCCTTCATGTACTGTTTTTGCAGTGTAGGCAGGATTCCCTTACTGTGCCCGTGTAAATGGATCGGCCACTCCTCTGTTCTCCCAGCTCTCTGTGTGGTAGGACGTCCCAGAGGTCATTGCTCCGTGTGTTGCTGGTGCCTCTGTGTGCAGGTCTCCCCCGATGGGGCACGATGGGACAGCTGGCCAGGTTTCCCAGGATGCACCGATACAAACCTGGTTAGGCGGCAGGGTGCTTGGCGCGGAGTTATCACAAGGTCATTGGGTGAACAAAGCTGTTGTTGTCCATGCTGAACTCCTGGGTGTTCGTTGTCACCAGGCCAGCAGAGGGCTGCAAAGGCCCAGTTGCACTTGCAGTGTAGATGGGGCATGAGGCGTGACAGCGAGGGTCTCCTCAGTTGCTGGAGGCCATGATGGGAGTTGTATTGCAAGGTGAATGGGGAGAGCTTTCAGGGTGCGACAGCTAAGAGACCCCTGTAGGGTGGGGAGAGGCTGGCTTGGTAGTGATCAGGATCTCAGCAAGGCCCTGTCTTGCTCAGTGTGTCGGTTGGTGGCCTGTGAAATGCAGGAGGTCAGACTAGATGATCTGGTGGTCCCATCTGGCCTTCAACTCCATGACCTTGTTCGTAGGAAGCCCTTGACACCTCACAGGAGCAGACCGCGAAATCGGGTTTGGCTCGGTGTGCAATAAGTGTTTCCCTCGCCACCATCAGTGCAAATACTCCTGTGATAGTGCATCCCTTCCTAGCCCTGCAGGGCTGGGGCGTGTCCCCTCCCCAGCCTCCCAGCTTATCCTTGGCAAACGATGCTTTCTTTCCCTGCTAGCCACTCCTGATTCTGAGGGAGGGAGAATGAACCTGGCTCCCTTATTTGCTTCCTTGTCTGTGCACCAGCTTTGTTACTGCTGTCTGCTCCAGCTGGCGAAGCAGAGCTGTTTAATTACAAGTGCCACGCTGGAGCCAGCAGGAGGAAGACACCACGCCCTGTCTGATTGCTCTGCTCTTTGTGGGCACGTGCTTGGCAGGGCAGAGCAGAGCTGTCTCCCAGCCCAGGGTTCTTGCAGGTGAGACAGAAGCACGTCTGGATCTCAGTCACACACAGTAAATAGAGTGATGTCCATGAAGGCAATGGAGATGTTCTGGATTTACACTACGGTGACTAAGCAGAGTCCAGCCTGCAACTGGAGTGGCTTGCTCCAGTCGCTTGGAGCTGGGTCCTCCAAGTCACCAAGTGGTTACAACATCACCCGAGCACTGAGAGCATTCAGGTCAAGGATTGGAGCATCATCACCACTTGAACTCATCCCTGGGATGCTCCAGGGCAGTTATGCTAGGGATGTAATTGGCCCAACAAAGGCAATAGAAGTAAAAGAAGTAAATAGCCTTGTGCATCCAGAGGGTCCCACGCCGAAATAAACCCGCTGGGAGATGGCTCAGCAGGACGTCAGTGGTACGTGCGAGAAACGGAACGGTTGTGTTGCGAGGCATGCTCTGCGCCTCATACAGCCTTGGCTAGGGAACTTCCTGCAGAATTGGGCTCCAGCGTCTCAGCTTTCATTTTATTCAAAGCTCCATTTCCAGCCCTAATGGTTGAGAAGAAAACCTTCCAACTGTGACTCAAGTGTGAGTGAGGCAGTGATGCCTGGGAATTTGCAGAGAGCCTGAGCCAATAGCCCAGGGAGGTTTGAGCTACTCCCATTTGTCTCACTGGGGTGTTGACTCTGGAACGTATTAATGACGCTTTACATGTTAACTATTTCACTGCCAAACTTTTTAGCAGAAATGGCCAACACAACAGCACCAAATGCCACGCACACACACACATTGCATCAGGCTCTCTTTACCTTGTGACAACTCCTACACTTCAGGTCTGTATTTTCAATACAGAGATCTACAGCCTGTTCAAATTGAAATTGTGGGGGTAAGATACATTAAATGGACTCCAATTTCAAACTCCAAACCAGAACTGATGCTAGAGGAACTGTGTTATTCAGCCTTGTATTTAATTCAATAAATCCCATTTTAAATATATAAAAAAATCATTTTTATTTTGTCTGAATCTGCCCCAGAATGCAAGGGATCTGTGCACCAAATTTAGGTAGAGCTTGTTGCAGGGATTCTGCCTTGGATTTAATTCATTATTGGTTGTAAAACGCTTTGAGATCCTCTGAGAAAAGACACTAGAGACACGTACATTAAAGTGAAATAAACCTTAACTTTACCATTATAACCAGAGAGGCATTCACTGCAACAATTGCTGCCTTGTTCCCTGCCAACAGAAGACCCTATCCCAAGCAGAGCTTCTGAGAACCAGAAAAGGGCAAACAAGCCAGAGACTCCATGCAATCTCCTGCGGTACTTTGCTGTTGGTAATCTATTTATGTGGAAGGTGCCTAGAGACAACAGTGATGGACAACAAGGCAAAAATCCGTAGAGAGCGAAAGAGCAATTGCAAGGTTTAATTCAGCACACATGGCCTCCCCCCTGTGCGTGACACACAAGAGGTTTTTGCCCGTATGGGGGACAAAGTCCAGGCATTTAAAAAACAAAGCGGAGGTTATACAAACAGAGAAACAGTCTCTACAACCAGAAAGCCCCTTTCCCACCTCTCCACCCTCCCACGCACACATGGGGACAACTTAGCACCCACCTCAATGGAATTTTAACATTTTCAAGAGCATTCACCTTAGAAAGGGCAACAAAGTTGGCACGTCAGCCCACACTGTTCAATGCACATGACAAGAGCTTGCAATGGAGGAGCCTCCTCCATAACTGTTGGGTCACGACCACGGCACCATAGTACCTAGGCAATAGCACCTGTACTGTTCTGCAGACACCAGGCAGCCATTTTCAAAAGTGACCACTGATTTCGGAAGGCCTCCATTTTTCACTGCCCAACCAGAGATACTTTCAGAGGTACTGAGCACTGGCGGCTCCCACTGACTTCAACTGGAGTTTTGGGTGCTCAGCACCTCTGAAAAATCAGGCCCCAGTTAGCCCCAAATATTTGAGACACCTAGAATCAGTGACAGGTTTCGGAGTGGTAGCCGGTGTATCAGCAAAAAGAACAAGGAATCCTTGTGGCACCTTAGAGACTAGTCTCCAAGTACTCCTCGTTCTTTTTCCAGAATCAGTGGCCACTTTTGATCATTTTGGCCGGTGTTTATGGTCTCACTGGTTCCGTCTCATATGTTTCCCAGGATCTTAGCCGTCTACTCAATCCCTTATACTCACAGTTATAGTTATGCCACTATAACCTCATAGTGTAGCTGTGGACTGCAGTGAAGGAAGGGGTTTTTCCATCACTCTAGGAACTCCACCTCCCTGAGCAATGGTAACTAGGTCGAAGGAAGCAGTCTTCTGGGGAGGGGAGGTGGATTAAGTCGGCATAGCTCAGGGGTGCTGGAACAATTTGTATAGTGGGGGTGCTGAGAACCATTGAACCAAACTGTAAACCCTGCATATAATGGAAACCCTTTCAAGCCAGGAGGTGCAGCAGCAACCCTTCTTCCAGCACCTATTGGCATGGCTATGTCGTCGTAGGTTTTGAGTGTAGACTGGCTCCTGTCCAGTATCTCTGAAGCCTAACTGTATCTGTGTGTTTGCACGTAGCTTCGGCTGTGTGCGTATGTGTGAAGAGCTGCAAAATTTGTAGGTGTGTGAGAGAGTGACTAGTGGTCTGAGGCAGTGTGATTGTCTGTGGACTGGAGCCGCTACTGCTAAGAACAATCAGGAATCTCTCTGCAGTCAGAATGAATGAAATTCCAAGCTCATTCTTCCAACATAGCTCTTGGTGGTGGTGGTATTTCTATTTCATTTTCATACCGTGGTGAGAGGGATCCACATAAGAATATGGATAGTATAAGTGCTGGCCCATAA